GGGGGTGGCGAGCATGGGTAGGAAGCTTGAAGTACATACCTGGTTACTTTCGTCTTAATGTCGCCATTGTCTATTCACATTATTTATTCGTACCAACAATGTGTTATGCGTAACATAGCCTGCGAACAGTCTCTCAAGGTGAAATGAGAGCCTGCATCGATGACTAATGAATTTAAATATCTGCCCCCTAACGTTTGTTTTTCCAAATATGGAATGTCTATCCTTATATGGTGTTGTTTACAACTTTTGTGCAAACTAAATTTAGACCGTACAGTTTATACTGTTTTTCGAAATATAAGATATTCAAGCAAACGGTTTAAATGTTTTAAATACCGTTTTCTCAAAACAGAACATTTCATGCTTTGAGATAAGATGGCCAAGACCAATTTGATCAGTTAATGTGTTTTTTATGCATAGTGCTTTTAGCACTTGACATATATAGAGCTCAGCGGAAATATATAAATTATAGCATCTGACCAATGAGAATTTCGCGTCACGATCTGAGACGCAGATATTCAAATTCATTAGTCATCGATGCAGGCTCTCATTTCACCTTGAAAGCCTGTTCGCAGGCTATGCGTAACAGTGCGGGTGTATCTTAGTTCTCTGCTACCTTGTGCCAATAGAACAATTAAAAAACTCGTTAATAATTCATGAGGAAAAGACAAAGGAAATCACTACCGTGTCGGTGGTTTTTTTGTGATAAAAATCATGTTCATTTACATCGATTTTAGCTTTGATTTTCTCGGCTTTGACAATAACGTTTAGTTTTAAAATGGCTTCCCCAATGAAGTCATAAGGCAGGTGATTATGTCAGATTATGTAAGTGATTTGAAGGTCTTGTAGTTGTACCAATAAAATACTCCTGCTCGTTTATTAAACAGGACATAATTGATTATTTGTAATGTTATATACTGACTTATTAGTTGAAGTGATGTGGAAGTTTCCCTCCCCCCCCTCCCCGTACACCATATTATGCACTATTTCTTTTCTAAGTCAATCTTATGCTTTTCATAGTTTGTTATATTGCAAATTTTTCTCATATAAAACAAGCAACTTGAAGTGGCAGAGTTCAAGAACAACTACACGGGGCCGGCCGGCGTCATGGAAAAAAAAATTAGGGTTGCGAAACGTTTCTGCATTTTAGACGCATTTTATGGTAATTTGAAAGTTACAGATTAGGGTATAAATTATTTTAGTAGATGAAAGCATTACGAGTTACGCCACGCTGCCCACCCCCAGTTTTGGGGTAAGTGCCTGCTCTCGTGAAAGGTTATAAAAAATTCAAACAACGTGAAAAGCGACTTTTAAAAGTGGTGACTGTAAATTTACCATTCTACAAACAACTACAATACTAAAATAGTAAAAAGTTCTATTTCATGTACCCCAAAAATGGCGGGAAAATTGGCCGTGAGTATGAAATTTGCAAACTTTATGCCTCTACTATAGTTACGCATTTTTTATATTGTTTGCTATTCCTTTCGAACAACAGAAGAATGTTATCTTGGTTGGTGAAAGTAAATATCATGATAATAGTACGATTGATATTGGACATATTGATTATTGATACGGTAAATAGTTGAGGAAAGTTGTTGGGAAAATGAAATATCTCAAATTGCGTATGGAAGCACATCTCGATTCTCGACAATTTCCTCGAACTGGCTCGAAGTTTGTTTGAACTTTGAAGTTGTGTGGATTTTAGAATGGCTTCTTCAAGAAATGTTTCTGTTGATGAACTTGAAGCGTTACTGGAGTGTCCAATTTGTATGGAAAGGTTAAACCAGCCCAGAAGTCTTCCGTGTTTTCATAATTTTTGTAAAGTGTGTTTAGAAAAGTATGTTGAAGGTCTCCGTGATGGAAAGAATATTGGAACATTTCCATGTCCAACATGTCGTTCAGAGTTTGCGCTGAAATCAAATGAAAATGTGGAGGGAATGGCGGGGAATTATTTCATCAGGAATATGTTGGAAGTTATGACGTTACAACAAGAAGCCAAGGTATCTATGTTATATTGTTAACGTGATTATCAAGGCTATTGTGTATTTGTATCAATACCCTGGGGCAGGTCTGGACTGCAATGAGTAAATGACTATTAATGTAGAAACACTGACACATGTAGATGCGGAACACATGACAATCGTCGCAATTTCGAGGGAAGGACTATAAACACTGAAGATTTTATCAGTGACGAACGATATGTGAGGGATTAAAGTTTCAAACAAGGACTCTCGATCATTCAGGGACTGCAGAAACAGGGGTGGGGCTTAGGGGCTGTCGACAAATAGATTTCGTCCAGCCGGAGGGGGTCAGCCTTGAATTCGCAAGTACAAAATAATCAGGACCAAAACTTACTTAAATTCTGGCTAAAAAAATTGTTGGATTGGTCCGCGATGGAGGGGGCGGTTGAAGCAATTGCAGAACAAGTCCGCGATCGGTGGACAAAATCTATTTGTCGATGTACCCTTACCCACTCCTCCAATAGTTTTCCGTTCATATGTGATTTTTATAAACTAAGAATACTGAAATCGATCGTTCAGATCAGTTGACAATATGTTTATCACATTATATATAGCCAAGTATTCAAGTTCTTGATTTCTATTTCTGGTTAGATTAAACAAATGATGGCTAATATTATATTAAAACAGTTGTTCAAGAAACTTTTTAACAGCAACTAGTAAATTTGATTCCATTTCAGGGGCTCAGGGAGGTCTCAGAGTTGAAAATTCTTCAAGGCAATATGCCCCTCCCCCCTAGTAATCTCACACCTTTGGTGTTTGCTAGCCCCTCAATTCAAAAATGGCTCTGTGGCCCCCGTCGTTAGAATGCTGTTAAAATTCTATAATTATGAAGGCATTTGTTCAAGACATTCAAGTTTTTGTGCTTTTGTGATAAGTCTACAAAACTGGTGCCGGCATTTGAAGTTACTGTAACTTTATGTTTCTATTAAAAATCAGATTGTAGGCCTAATTGTCAGGGGTTCAACTAGTGATAATCTGATATGCTAAATTTTATGCCTGTACATTACAGTGTATGTGTAGATTTTTTGCAGGCCATAAAGTGGAATTGACATATTCTGCTACTCCAATGATTTTTCAAGCAACATCATCCTACATTAATATTAATTATATATATTTTTAAAACTATTTTGTATACACCCAGTGATTCATATGCATTGCACAATGCACCCTAATAAATTCTTCTTTATTGTTTAACTCAATCTGACACCAGACGATTTTACTTGTCAAGGGAGAATGCTGCCACTCAATGGGTAATTAATAATATGAGTATTACTTACAATGTTTCTACCCCCCTAACCACAGAAGAGATAAGGGCAGAAGGTTCACTCAAGGGTAAAAAGTGTGCCAGAATGTCAGCCGACTTCCGGTGTGGCCGCCATGTTGAAAGCAACCAAACCAGAGGAAATTTTATAGGAGTTAATATGGCGGAATACGAAATAG